AATAATTGCAGATTATTGCACAGAAAAAGGGCATTTCGGGACATGGTGTTTGAGGACAATGTTCTCTTTTTTGTTATAGGCTGGATTTCTGGTAGGCTCTCTCAGGATTCCCAATCATGGATTTGCTTTCTCTTCTATATGTTTGGTCGATGTTCATTTGTTTGTTCTGCCTGCTCCTGTGGAGTCATAAAACATGATTATTTAATTCCCAGGTGTTTTGTTTTTTTGTGTTCAGTCACTGTTATCTTCATACTTTGTCTTTGGCCCACTTTCCCCCATCTTCGGTAAAAGTGGAAAGAGCACAAGGACCACCCTGCACAACACAGTTGAGGAAAACAGAAATTATCATGCAACCCTTATCCCACACTGCCATTCAGATGGTCCTCCTCTGGGATTCCTGCTCAGGGTCCATAGATGGACTTCAGAAGAGTGTGTGACATTTTTTTTTTTTGAGGTGACCAACCTCAGGTGGGTCTGTGACTCAACAAATGTGAAGAACCACTGTTGTGTCTCTGTTGAGAGGTGGTTGCTGGGTGGTTCCCCAGAGAGAGAAACGTGGCAGAAGCATCCTTAGTGCCAACTGCAGGAGCCTCCAGGAAAGTTGAAGGGGCTGAAAGAGAGAGAGAAATTGGGCAAAGGGAAATGGGTTCAGAGGGAACTAGTAGGTTCTTTCTTTGTATTCTCCATATCCTGGTGATTACAGGATTCCGGTTCCCCTTCAGTTTAAATCTACTGAATGCCTGCCATTTATCAGGCTCTGTAGCAGGTGCTCTCCCAACATTATCTCCTGCAATCCTGTGTTGAACCTGCAGTGCAGAGTGGAGTCAGTCCCTCCCTCAGTCATGGTGTGTTTGCACCATTGCTTCCTGTCAGGCCCCTTTTCTTTTTCTTTTTTTTTTTTTTTTTTATCACGTTATGTTAATCACCATACATGACATCATTAGTTTTTGATGGAGTGTTCCATGATTCATTGTTTGCGTATAACACCCAGTGCTCCATGCAAAACGTGCCCTCCTCAATACCCACCACCAGGCTAACCCATCCTCCCACCCCCCTCCCCTCTAGAATCCTCAGTTTGTTTTTCAGAGTCCATAGTCTCTCATGGTTCACCTCCCAGGCCCCTTTTCAATGCATTTTATTTTCCCCTTTCATCCTTATCTCTATTCTCATTTCCCCTCCTCACTGGAGGCACTTACTTCAGTATATTTAACAAATGTTCTTCCAGTCCATGTTCTACATTGGTTTTAGATACATTCACCCATTCAACAACTACAGTGCCCAATTGTGTGTGCATTCTTTTTTTTTTTTTATTTTTTTTATTTCTTTATTTGACAGAGAGAGAGACACAGTGAGAAAGGGAACACAAGCAGGGGGAATGGGAGAGGGAGAAGCCGGCTTCCCGCGGAGCAGGGAGCCCGATGCGGGGCTCGATCCCAGGACCCCGGGATCATGACCCGAGCCGAAGGCAGACGCCTAACGACTGAGCCACCCAGGCGCCCCTGTATGTGCATTCTTAATTCCACAAAGATTGTGCTTCAGGGTGGTCCCCAGTGATGCTCCCACCAGCAGTGTGTGATAGTTTGTCTCTTCTCATGTTGACCCAGTGAGGGAGGTCAAGTAAGGTTCCCAGTGGAAGAAGAGACTGAGGCTTAGAGAGATTAAGCAAATTACCCAAGTTCATGTAGTCACAAGGAAGGGCCAAGGCTCACATCCAGAATTTCTGACATAGTGTTCATTGATCTTATCTCCAAGGTACCCAGCACTGCCTGTTCCAGATGGGGCATCTGTAGACAAAGATAATAATAATAATAATAATAATAATTATTATTATTATATTGAGCCTTGCATTTCTTGATACCTGGTCTAACACAGTAAGCCTAGGACCCCCCATGTGTTAGCACCAGCATGGATTAGGAAGTCTAATTAGAGTCCTAGCATGGAATAAAACTGTTTTCATTGTCTCATGAGAGTTGGCTAACAAGCTCGAGTTTTAATGGATGATTTTGAGCCTGCACATTTATAAAGACTGATTGATTTTCAATGATTTCAATATTAAGTACTAGGTAGATAATATTAAATCCATATTGTTTGCTACGCTTTGAGCTAAGTGCTGTACAGACATCATTTCCCTTACTCCTCATAGCTGCCCTGTGAGGTATCTACTTTTACTCCCATTTGACTGTTGTGACAACTAAAGCCCCAAGAGGTGAACTAATTTGTCCAGAGTCACCAGGTGGGAGGTTGAGGTGCGATTTGAACCTGAACAGTCTACCTGCAGAGCCTTACTCCTAACTAGTAAACTGTACTGTCTTCCTGTGAAGGAAGCTTTTAGATTCTCTTCCCCTTGAACTTGAAGACAATTTCTTGTCAGTTAGGATGGTTTAGAACAATCATGGGAAGTACTGGGCTAGTGGACAAGAATCTCCAGAGGGAGAGGATCTGAAGTTTGAAAATGTCCCCAGGTGTCTTCATTATGCCTCCCTCTGTCCCCTGAAGTGAGAACCTCCGCCTTAGGACATCCTACCTGGATTATAGGGCTTGAGGACGATGCCTTCAAAAAAGTAGGGATTCTCGAACTGGGCGTGGGTGGTTCATTTACTGTATTTTTAAACAAGTGTCCTCAAAGGCAAACAATTCTTATCACTTATGTGTGGTTTTTACCTGCCATGAATGATGTATGGTCAAGGTTTTATCACAGTTGGTTTCCCCTTCCCACTATCCATTTTGCTCGCCTTCCACAAGGAAGGTAATACCATGTATGCCTTTACCTGAGCCAGGTTTATAAAGGTTGCTTGGCTACAAAGTATCTATCTATCTCCATGACCAGTAGATAGGAATTCTGGATTATGGCCTCTTTCAGGTTTCTCTTCTCAGCATGGTCATTTGTTCAACAAATATTTATTGAGCACCTAACTCACAGGCTAATGGAGGAGACAGGCAGCTGATGTGGAATTTGGATACATTACGATTAGTGGCACATGGCGGAAGCCAGGTGCTAGGAGAGCACATGGGAAGGGCAGCATAAGGGTCAGGGGAGGCTTCCTGGAAAAGCAACTGCGGAGCTGGGAACTGAATGAGAAGTGGGGGTAGCTAAGTGAAGGGGCCAAGGGGGCAGTAGAGGCAGGGGAACAGGGTGAATGTTGAATTTCGCAGCTGGAGCAGGAACTGGGCAGGGGATGAGGCTGGAGGAATAAGCACAGGTCAGATTATGAAGGAAGGAAGGAAGGTCTATGAAGGAAGGGCAGTGTGGAACCACGGAAGGGTTTGAGGCCTGGTCATGGGTTGGGGACACCTCAAATAGTGTAGAAAGATTCCGTAAGTTAAGAATTCACCCTCCTTATCTTGTGTGCTTGTTGGTAAATCATAACATTGGAACTGGTGAGTGGCAAATAAGGAATCTAGATGGATTTATAGACAGAAGGTCTGGCCCATAACCCAATGGTTCCTTTTGATCATCTATAGAGTAGACTTTCCAATTTTGACTTGATCTTTCTGTCTTTAAAAACCTCTGACAGCATTTCCTAAAATTTTCTCAAAACCAAAGGCTGAGTAGGAAGGAGAGCTGCATGACTTTGTTCTCTCTGTTGTCCACTTCTCATTTCTGGGCATTACTGTGAATTGTTCATCCAAAGCCTTGTTCCCCTTGTGGAGGGAGCCATTTGAATAGCAGCAGGGGAGAAGGGGGAAGATGGAACTGCATGCAGGATTCTTTCATTAAGAAAACATTCAGCAGCAGTTTGAGTTAAAAATAACTCCTTGTGAAAAATTCATAGGGGGGTCACAAGTGAGTGTTTTAATACAGGCTCACAGAGCAGGGCAGATTCTCCAGGCCCTGGCAGCTGACGTCCCAGATGGCTCAGGGTGTGTAGAGAGCACAGTGTGGCCAGTGAGGAGACTGTCTGCAGAAGTGCGCTCACCTTCTCTCCTGGAACCCAGAGAGGGAGGGGACAGAAGGAATTGTCTTGGTTGTGAACTACTGAGCTAGGTGACTCATTTCTTTTCTCCCTACCCATCACACTTTCTCTTCATACCCATCACACTTTCATAAAAAAAGTTAGTGAATTTTTACCTGGTTGCTTTGGGTGAGGTGTACTGAATGTCAAAATTCACAAAATAGCTTTTCTGGCTCCTCTCCCTTCTCAGTCATGGACCCTGGGTTGGCCGCTGCCCCCATTTCTCCAGTGTTTCCTTCCCAGACAGCCTGGTCCTCTCCTTCTTGCAGGTGGTTATGAAGGTCCTGCCCCTTTCTCCCTCCTCTCTGTTCACAGCGCACCTGTGGGCCTAGGTGGGGAAAGGGAAGGGGTGGACTGTACATTCTTGGTTATCTGCACAGCTGAATGGATGATGTAGACTGAGGAAAAAGGGGACCAAATTGCCATCTGACCTTGGGTAGCAGATTTGGGGGCTAAGAGTTTCAAGACTGAGAGACCAATATTTGTATTTTAAACTCTGATGATATATTAAAAAATGGGTCTCTAATTGCAATGAAGTCCTCTAGTCCATGAATGAATGTGTCAAAACTCACGGTCAAGCACTGCACACACATCCTACCTGTGAATTCTTGCACAATACATTCATATCATGTTGTGTCTAACCATCTAATTGGTACATGAAGCTACATGACTTATGAATACAAAAGGGATTATGTCACATTGTATGGAAAAAAGGGAATGTTGGGGTGCCTGGGTGGCTCAGTCAGTTGAGAGTCAACTCTTGATATTGGCTCAGGTCTTCATATTAGGGTTGTGAGTTAGGGCCCCGTGTTGGGCTCCTTGCTGGGCATTGAGCCTACTGAAAAATAAAATTGAAAGAAAAAATTGAATGTTGGGAGGTATTTGGTACCCTTTTTTGGGGGGGGGGAAGTAGGATTGATTTTTCTATGATGTCTCTTGGTGTCAGTTTCTGTGATACTTGGGCTGCAACAAGTTACATGTGACTTTTGAGTTTCGGTTGGTTGGTTGAACCATTTACCATTGTTCAGTAAACATTTGTTTCCCTAGGCATTATGGAAGGATAGCATGTACCAGAAGAAATATGAAGCAGCAGCTCTGAAGCCTGAGCAACGGACCTCGGCAGCCCCAACCCAACCTGGCTTAACTCAGCCTCACTGAACCGGATCCAACACTCTTGGCTCCCTGGGCTTGCTACAGCTCTCTGATCCTTAGAATCCTCTCAGTTCCAGCTAGAATGCTACGTCAGGCACTTCGCAGATTTGGTCAAAAGCTGGTACGCAGACGTCCACTGGAGAAAAAAGTGTATGAGTTTAAATCTGGCATAAAACTGAGCACTCTGGACTTAGTGGCCCTGGGTGTGGGCCACACAGTGGGTGTTAGTGTGTTTGTCCTGGCTACTGAGGTGGCCAGTAATCAAGCAGGACCATCCATTGTGATCGGCATTTTGGTGGCGGGCCTAACATCGTTGTTGGCTGGGCTGTGCTATGCAGAGTTTGGTGCCTGGCTTCCCCATTCTGGCTCTGCGTATCTCTACACCTATGTCACTATGGGTGAACTCTGGGCTTTCATCACTGGCTGGAACTTTATCCTCTCCCTTGTTGCTGATGCAGTTATTGTGATGAAGGCCTGGATCTTAACTTTTGACAACCTGATTGGGAACTGGTTCTATGCCACCCTGCATGAGAGCATCTCACAGCATGTTCCCCAAGTCTTCATAGACTGTCTAGGCTACTTGGCTATGAACCTTCTGTTTGGTCTCATAGAAATTCCAAGTCTGAATTATCATGGGTTCTTCAGAGTTTTCAAACTGTTTACATTGGTAAAATTTTTGGTTGTCAGTTTTGTCATCATCTCTGGCTTCATGAAGGGGGACCTGCACAACTGGAACCTCACAGAAGAGGACTACATGCAGGCTGAAGTCAATGACACCTTTAGCTTGGGCCCTCTGGGCTCTGGTGGATTCGTGCCTTTTGGCTTTGAGGGGATTCTCCGTGGAGTAGCTACCTGTTTCTATGCTTTTATAGGCTTCGACAGTATTGTTACCAGAGTTGAGGAAGCCCAGACTCCCAAGCGTTCCATCCCCAAGGGCATTGTGATTTCACTGCTCATCTGCTTTTTGGTGTATTTTGGTGTCTCTGTGGCAGTTACACTCATGGTGCCTTACTACCAGCTTACTACCTTGCCTGAGGTATTTCTCCATATTGGCTGGGCCCCTGCCTATTATGTTGTAGCTTTTGCAACTTTCTGTAGTATTTTTGTCAGCATCTATCAGAGCTTTCTCCTCCCCATACAGTGGGTGATAGACATGATGGCACTGGATGGCGTCCTGTTCCCTATGCTTGCCAAGAAATGTGCCCGCATACGCACCTGCATTTTGTTCTTTGAATTCATTTGTATTGTTTCAGTCATGCTATTATTTTTTGGATTCGCTGATCTCTTGGACCTCAGGTCTATTGTGACCCTGACATCTTATTCCCTGGTAGCTTTTTGTGTTCTCATCATCAGGTATCAGCCTGAGTGGACGAATGAAGAAAACGAAGCACAGGTGCAGGAGGAGAATTTGGTAAATGAAGCGCAGGTGCAGGAGGAGAATGGATCTGCAGCAGAGAAGCTGACTCTACAGGGACTATTCTTTCCAGGCAGCCCCACCCCCACTCCACTCTCTGGCCGGGTTGTCGTTGTTTGCTCCTCACTGCTTGTTCTGCTGCTGACTGTTCTCTGCCTGGTGCTGGCCCAGTGGCCAGGTCTGCTCCCTGGAGACCCAGTGCCGATCACAGTGGTTGTGCTGCTCCTGGTGCTCATCACTGGGATCACTGGGGTCATCTGGAGACAGCCACAGAGCTCCACTCCCCTTCCCTTTAAGGTCCCTGCTGTGCCTCTCCTCCCACTCCTGAGCATCTTTGTGAATGTTTACCTTATGATGCAGATGACAGCTGCCACATGGGCCCGATTTGGTGTCTGGATGCTTATTGGGTTTGCTCTCTACTTCGGGTATGGGCTCTGGCACAGCCTGGGCCCTTAACCCCACTTAAGGGCCCAAACTGTAGACCTTGAACTCAGCAGTGCCTGTATATATTTGGTTTGACATCATCATTGAATGCAGTCTGGTTCCCCTACACAATAATGGGGAGTACTCTCGAGTGTATGGAAATATAGGTCTCCTTTGAGATATTATTGGGGGAACACTAATAGAGCTCTGTATTTAAGGTATGGTGAAGGATGTGTCTTTGCTCTTTTTCCTTTTTTTTTTATGTTCTACTTTCAATTGTGTCTATAGCTGCTCGCTGGCTTTTACAAAATTAGTATTAAAAGAAAATTGAAAAAGTATTTTCCTTTTCTTTGGTTAAATATCCACTAGTGAAGGAGGTGCCTAGCTGGCTCAGTCAGTAGAGCATGACTCTTGATATCAGGCTGGTGAGTTTGAGTCCCACATTGGCTGTAGAGATTACCTAAGAAAATACACAGTAGCAGAATTACTGGATCATATGGTTGTCCTGTTTTAAATTTTTTGAGGAATCGCCATACTGTTTTTCACAATGCATGCGCGGTTGACATTCCCACCAACAGTGCATGAGGATTCCTTTTTCTCCATATCTTCGCCAACACTTCTATTTCATGTCTTTTTGATTTTAGCCATCCTGACAGGTATAAAGTGATATCTGATTGCAGTTTTAATTTGTATTTCCCTGATGATTAGTGATGTTAAACATTTTTTCATGTGTCTCTTGGCCATCTGTATGTCTTCTGTAGATAAATATTCAGGTCTCTGCCTATCTTTTATTTTTTTTTTTTTTAAAGATTTTATTTATTTATTTGAAGAGAGAGACACAGCGAGAGAGGGAACACAAGCAGGGGGAGTGGGAGAGGGAGAAGCAGGCTTCCTGCTGAGCGGGGAGCCCGATGCGGGGCTCGATCCCAGGACCCTGGGATCATGACCTGAGCCGAAGGCAGACGCTTAACAACTGAGCCACCCAGGCGCCCCTCTGCCTATCTTTTAATCGGATTGTTTGTTTTTCTGGTGTTGAGATACAACTGTAGATTCATGAAAGAATGGGACTCTTGTGAGGGATGTGTGTTTTCACATTTGAAGGGAATTTATGAGTGAGGTTTGTATTGTGTACTGTACCATGGAGTGAGATTCCTGAATCAGGAAGGGATGAGATATGATTCTCAGACAGATAGACTCTTCCTGGGAGACAGTTGTAGCAACTGCTACAGTCATGTAGGTCCTGCTCTTCAAAGTGTGGTCCATGGACCAGCAGCGAGGGTGTCACATGGGAGCTTCTTAGAAATACAGAATCTCAGGCCCCAGTGCAGATGTGCTGAATCAGAATCTGCATTTTTAACAGGCTCCCAAGGGATTTGTATGCTCTTTCAGGTTTGAGAAGCACGGGCCTGAGATGATTGATGATAGGTGTCTGGCCTCAGATGAGCACCATGGAAGGTGTGGAAACTTTGGAATTGGGAGCATAAGAGGAGGGGCTTAGGCTGGGAAGTTGAATTTGGGGAAGAGGGAGAAGTGTGGGGTCTGACTGCCCTCCTGTCCCCAGGCCTCTCTCACCAGTCACTATGGCAGGGTTTAGCACTCTGCCCACTGTGGGAAAAAGCCTGCGGTGCCCTCGCTCAAGTCTGCCTGATCCTCAGGGCCTCCCATGGTACAAGCATTGGGGGGTGGGGACTGCTGCAAATTCTGTTACCCCTACTTCATATGATAGCCTGAAAGGGACTGGGGAGGTCATATTAGTCATGCCCCGCCTCAGGGCTATACTGTCCCTTAATCAAATGAGTGATACAGTGATGACACTAATTGAGGAGGCTCTGGGGGTTGGGGGATGAAATAGTTCTTAACTATCTGTCCTGGAAATTAGGATACTTTCATCTTTCAAATGCTTCAGGAGAGACCAGATGTCTACATAAGGGGTTACACCCTGGTAGGGACCAAATTAATGCTTTTTAAGAGATCTTTTGATGATTTTTAATTGGTTAATAACAAACTATATGAGACCTATAACTCCAGAGACCTGGACTGATGGGCACTAGAACGATGTTACTAGGTGGGCATGCAAGAATTTTCTTAGGCTTTCGAGGGTTTGTGTGCCTCATCCCCTATAAGAATGGGTGATAAATAGAGGCCAGTATTAAAGGGAAACAGATGGAGATTGAACATGAGGAAGAATTTTCTGAGATTAGAGTGTGACCAGGGGAGATGGGAGGGCGCAGGCTCTCTGGCCGAGCGCATGGCTGTCTCACTTGGGTGTGGAATGTCTCAGATGAGCTTCTGCACAGAAACAGGGAAATGTACACAATGAACTCTCAAAATCTTTGTTATCCTAAGAATCCTCTAGTCAACTTCTTAAATGAGAGGCTGGGATGGATGTGTGGTGTATGTAGGGTGGTGAGGCATGGGGATGATGAATGACAGAAGAAAAAACACAATCTTATTAGAGCACTGAAATCTATCAATTCTAAATCTGTGGATTTAGGACATTATATTAGACATAAGACTCAAATAGAGTTTTAGGTTTACAGGTCCTTCCTCTCTCCATGTATTTATCTTGTGTCATAGAACCTCATTGAAAGTCATGTGTGTGTGTCTACTATATGGCTATATGTGTTTGAATTTGAGTGGAAATGTGCTCCAAGGAGTGGGGTATGTTTCTCTCGGTACGTCTACAAACATGGGCATACTTTTTAGACTTTGGGTTTGGGGTGTGTGTGTGTGTGTGTGTGTGTGTATGTGTATGTGTGTATGCATGTGCGTGTAGACAAATCCTGAAGGAGTTCAATCAGCACTAAGGAACCAGCTGCCTTCCACCCCTGGCCATGCTTGGTGTGTGTACCAAACCCAGGTATTTATTTTTCAGCACCTCTCAAGGAAACCTTAATGAGTTTCTTTCTGGGAAGTTCATGGCTAAGACGCTGGGCTGCTGTGGAGCCCTATACATCTGCTGTGATCAGAAGAGGTTTGCAGAGAAAGAGAAACAGCAGCTGCAAGGAAATCCCCTCCTGTTTTTTACCCTCTAACCTAATACACAGCTGCAGTTATATGTACACCACCCACATTACCACTTCCCCTCTCCTAGAACGCCCTCATGGAAGGTACTAAGAGAAGCCATTTTATTTACTTCTTCCCTTCTAAGTGGGACTCTATTTGAGCCACCCCAGAAAGAGGAGAATTAAAAATTATACTTATTAAAGAATCTAGAGTAGAGATTGTGAGAAACTGGTAATTTGTGGAACTAATTTCATAAAAATGCAATGACCACTGACAGAAGCAAGGATGGTAAGAGGAGTTGAATGTCTCTGTTACTTCTTTAGAAAACCTGAAGCAAAGCTCCTGGAAGCTGGAGGCAGGATGACCTGTAGGTGACTTGAAGGCAGACACAGCCCAGGAACCCCTCCTCCACCTTCCAATGCCAGTGCTTGGGAGACTATTTTAGGAGGATTTTTTAGAACAAACTTTAGTTTATATGTGACATTTCACAGCATCTCTTGTCCAGAGAAGGAGAAAATACAGATATTTATTGACACAAAGTATCAAAAGATCTAGGAAAATTGAGTATGGAGATGGAAGGAAGAGGGGTTTCTCTCTTTCCCCAGGTATGCAAATTACTTAATTTGTGTAGTATATGCTTTTCTGCCCTTTCTGCTGCTCTGGGTAAGGAGTTAAGAAATCCTTTCATTCTTATTAAAGAACTCAGTGGGCGGAAAGAGGTGATGAGAGATATTTAGATGGAGGCATAATGGGTATCCTGTCCCATTTGAACCATTACCCCTTCAAGAAGATCGAGTGCAAGAGAAGTGGGGATAAATGGACCCTGACCTGGGACCCAGGTCCTGGCTCCTGTCTTCTGTATTCAAAGTGTCCAGCTTCTGCAGTTTTATCTTAAATTTCACTGCTCCTTGCATTTCACTCTCTCATGATGAACAGAAGTTTAATATCAAATGATGCCCAAAGTCAAGAAATCCTTTCCAGTAGCTATGTCTTTCCTTGGAATTCTGTCCTCCCAATCTCTGACTGCTAAAATCCTACATAAGTGTCAAGGTCCACTTTAAATGTTATCTCTGCCTATGCCTTCCTGGATTATCTGCCTCTGAAGAAATTTATTTCCTTTGATCTCCTCTACTCCTTTGTGTCACTCTTACCATAGCTGTCTCTCCGCACACTGTCTTCATTTGTAGTTACCCTGTGTCTTCTCTTTCTTCCTCACTCAAGTGTAAGCTTCTGGAGTGGGGAGACTGTGCCCTGCATATTTTTATGAATTCTCTACACTGTGCTTAACACAGAGCTGAAGAATTGCTAAATAACTTTCATGTGTGGTATAAAATAGGGTGAAAGAGCCCATGAAGAGAGATGTAGAAGTAGAGGTATTATGAATACTGACAAAGGATATTACTGTGATTGTAGGTCAGCACATGATACTTTCAGGTATGGATCATCTTATTAGGAAATTTTTATCCCACCAGTAGATTTATTCCCATATTATATATTTATTCATCATTCATTCTTTCTCTCATTCAAATAAAGGGTTTTTCCTAGAGGGATATAGATAATAAGCAAGAAAACAAATGTTCAAATAATTCCAGAGTGTGATGAACCCTCAAAGGAAAGAAACAGGGTCTTGTGATCAAGAATAACAGGGAATTTTGTTTAGATAGGGAGGGAGGTTAGGAAAGGCCTTTATGGTCCCTGTCATATATTTACACTACTATGATTATGAGTTAATTCAATTTCTAACAAATAAAATCAGTAATAGAAAGGGAATAAAAACCTTCCCATCAGGGTGTGTGTTTGTCAACCCAAGCATAGGATTGGTTCCTCTTTGGTCCAACTTCCAAACCTCCCTCCTGCCTTGGCAAGAGGGGAAGTCAGGGCCGTCCCCTTGCCTCAGGAGGGACCCTGGCTACTAGGTTGACTGGGGGAGCTCAGGCAGCTTCAAGAGGTCCTCTAAGATTCTGCCAAAATGGGGGCATTCAGGCTGGTGTGCAAGGTGATGGGTCAGAGTTCTGGGAGCCCTGGCTGAAGAGGGTGTTTATGGTTGGTGGGGTGGGGCACAGTGGCTGCGCTCTTGCGGGTGGGTGTCCTGAGCTGAGCTGGGTAGAGGTGGATGGAGGGGAAGACACCCCCCTCAGCTTAGGGAGGACTCCAGGCTCAGGGCCTGTCTTAGAGCACATTCTCTCCAGGTGGCCCAGAGGGGAAGGGAAGAGAATGGGGAGCAGACACATCAGACCAGTCCAGCCTCATTCCTTCCCCTCTACCCTCCCTCATGTCCCTAAGCCCAGCTTCTCAATGGGCCATTTCATACTTACTACACATCTG